CATAATAGCTGCCATTCTGACTGGAGTGAGATGAAATCTTAGAGTGGTTTTGATTTGCATTTCTCTAATTGCTAGTGATGATGAACATTTTTTCATGTGTTTGTTGATTGATTGTAGAGAAGTATCTCTTCAGGTCCTTGGCCCATTTATTGATTGGGTGATTTGTGTTTTTGGTGTCTAGTTTTTTGAGTTCTTTATATACCCTAGAGATTAGTGCTCTATCTGATGTGTGAGGGGTAAAGATTTGCTCCTAAGATGTAGGCTCTCTGTTCACCTCACAGATTGTTTTTAGTTTGAGTCCATCCCATTTATTGATTCTTGATTTTAATTCTTATGCCAAAGGAGTCTTATTAAGGAAGTTGGGGCCTAATTCCACATGATGGAGATTAGGGTCTATTTTTTCTTGTATTAGATGCAGGGTCTCTGGTTTCATTCCTAAGTCCTTGATCCATTTTGAGTTGCGTTTTGTGCATGGTGAAAGATAGGGGTTTCATTTCATTTTGTTGCATTATGGATTTCCAGTTTTCCCAGCACCATTTGTTGAAGAGAAGCTATCTTTTCTCCAATGCATGTTTTTGGCACCTGTATCTAATATAAGATAATTGTAATTTTGTGGGTTAGTCTCTGTTTCCTCTATTCTGTACCGTTGGTCTTCAGTCTGTTTTGGTGCCAATACCATGCTGTTTTTGTTACTATTGCTCTGTAGTGTAAGTTTAAGGTCTGGTAGAGTGATGCCACCTGCTTCACTCTTCCTGCTAAGGATTGCTTTAGCTATTCTGGTTCTCTTATTTTTCCATATGAATTTCATGAGTGCTTTTTCTATTTCTATGAGGAATGTCATTGGAATTTTGATCGGAATTGCATTAAATCTGTATAATGCTTTTGGAAGTATGGCCATTTTAGTAATATTAATTCTGCCTATCCAAGAGTAAGGTAGATCTTTCCATCTTCTAAGGTCTTCTTTGATTTCTTTCTTTTTGGTTCTATAATTTTTATTATATAGATCTTTCACCACTTTTGTTGATTCCCAGCAGGAACATATCTCAACATCATAAAGGCTATCTATGCTAAGCCCCAGGCCAACATCATTCTAAATGGAGAAAAATTGAAGGCATTCCCTCTAAAAACTGGAAAAAGACAGGGATGCCCTCTTTCACCACTTCTGTTTAACATAGTTCTTGAAACACTGGCCAGAGCAATTAGACAGACGAAAGAAATTAAAGGGATACATATAGGAAAAGAAGAACTCAAATTGGCATCAGAGACCAACTTTTGACTTTCCTGATTCTCTCTTGAGTAATTCTCTATTGACTAATTTCTTTTGTGATCTCTTCCTTGATAGATTAATTATTTGGAAGTATATTAATTAATTTTGAAAATCAGGGTTCCCTAGATGTGTTTGTTATTGATTTCTAACGTAATTCCAAAATGATGAGTTAACATAGTATAAATCAGAACTATTTAGACTCTCTGTGTTAGAAGTCTTTTTTTTTTCCTTCAATCTCTGGTGGAACTGAAAGCTTTTGTAAAACATAATAAAAATGAATTTACTAGAAAATGAAGTTTTATGTGTGTGTGTGTGTGTGTGTGTGTAATCTAAGCACTGATTTATATTATTAGATTTTACAAAAAGGCACTACTTTATCAAAAGGCTATAATATTTTCTAAATATTCAATTTCTAGACACCCTGGTTGTGATTCAGTAATAATGTAATTCAGTCCATACACATAAATTAAAAACCTGTGTCCTTCTATCTTAAACAGAATGAGTGGTAGAGAATTCAGCATTATTCTGAATAAACTGTCTCTAACACTGCCATCAATAAATATAATGTTTAATAAGACTTTCAATCTTCTGTGCCTTTGATTTTTTTTCCAACTGCTAAATGAGGATATAATGGTCAGTGATTTAAATATCCAGAATGCATATAAGCCAATTAAAGATTATGTTTAAGTTCAGTTAATGTTTTAATATTTTTTGAGGATACATAAGATTCCTGACATCTCCTTGATAACTCTAAAAATGTAATCAGCTTACCAAGATTGAAATTACCTATTCCAAGGTCATTTTCAGAGATAATCATGAAGTCAACTTATTTCATAACCAAGTAGGTTATGAACTATCTTTGTGATTCTTTTAATATATTCAAGGACATTGTGTGTTATATTCTATAAGTGTTTATAGCAATTCAGATCCTAATATGAAAATGTCAGTGGTATCCTCAAGGGCAAAAAGCTAAATATAGCTTCTGCCAGCATTGCTCTTTCTAATGCAGCCCCATGTTTGTTGATCTGCTTTCTTTTTCCTTCATAAGGTGGGTGGTATCATATCAATAAAAGGCCTGAATAAAGTCAGAACAATTTACACCTACACTATCTGGATATAATTTGGTTTCTTGTAAGGCCTACAGAGACTTTACAACATCTATAGATGGTTTGCACTTAAGGGGAGAAAACAAAATAAAAACAAACACAGAAAGACTGGTGAACTGTAATATGATTGTTAGCTCATGCATTAAGCAATGACAGTATTCAGGACTAGAAGTTAGAGTATGATGTTTAAATAGCTTTAATGTGACAGTTTGGGGTTAGTATTTTTGTATGTCAAATAGGCACTGCTCATGATTTATAATGATTCTGCATTTGAAATTCACCTCAATTTTCCTCTTGCTGTTTGCATTAGAAACAAAGAACTCTGAAAAAGAGCTGACTTAATTTTATTTTAGGATACTGTGAATCCAAGACTACTTCTCATATTCTAATGGGATCATTGCAGAGAACAAAGAATTTCTTTTAATATTTTTATTATCACTCACTTATTAGTATTAGTTCATTCATCTGTATTAACAAATATGATTTTTAGGCAGTGGATGTTGCCTTTTTTAACATGCGTTTAATTGTTCTGGAATGATAAGACTTGAGAAGATTTTAAAAATATCCTTAGATTGATTTACCTCTTTCTTAAAAGTAATGAATATTCACTGCTTTTTAAGAAAAAAAAAAAAAAGAGTCATGGGAAAAGGCTTTTTTCTTTTGTTTACCTAACCATCCACTTAAGTTCAGAAAATTCTCTGATCAGGTGTAGGATTGGTAAATGTCTGACCAGTGAATATTTGAGTAGTTTTCCTATTATACATGATCATACCTCTGATTTCTCAGAAGTTTGTTTTTAATTGTTGCACATCTGAATACTTCACTAACCAAGGTTAATTTGTCACTGTTTGATTCCTACTAAGCATATAAAATAATCTATCAAAGAATGGGGAAATATGAGAATTATAATTGAATGTTTTTTTCTATATCAAGAATGTTTAAAAATGTCAATAATGAAGTATGTTTTAATCCATTCATTTTTCTTTGTCTTCTCAGGTGGATCTCCTTACTTAGCAACCAAAATCAATGAAGCAAAAGACTTGCTGGAAGCAACCACCAAATATTGATTGATGCTCAAGAGCCAGTTTGAAGGAAAAAAATAGAGGACTTAAAAAAAATAGTCCTGCCAATTAATCTGAAATATGGTCTTGATTTTCATACACCTATTGACCATAACCTTTTTTCCATCCTTCAATTATATAATAATAAAAGGTTAATAGACTTGCTTTTTTATTTTCTTTTAAAGGAATCCTGGAAATTTTTTAGCTGGTATTTTGCCTTATTATTTACTTTGTAATATTCATACTTTTAATGGTTTTTGTTATATTAGTCCTAAATATCCTTCTCTTCCTTCACACACATACACACACACACACACAGTGTACAAAAGCACGATCATCTCTGGTGCAGTTGGAATTTGGGAGCACTGAGTAGAAGTGTTCTTATGCTTGTATTTGTACCTCTCTGTCCTTTGTTTCTTCAGAGGAATTTGAGACTCTGCCTAAGTAAGGTGCTTTTGAATGCTTTGAGACCAACATTGGCTGCCACCTCAAGAAGAAATGATCCGATATAATGGAATTTACTAAATGGTGATTTGTTAAGTAGGGGTTGGGACTTTTTAAAGAACTCTGCTGTCTCTGAGATCCTATAACTGAAGCATGAGAACTTGGAGAGCCACTAAAATGATTAAAGACTCATAAAATGAACCCTCTGAGGAACAGCTGAAAAGGGCTGGGAGAAAACAGAGGAGTTTGTATTTAATTATAGTCTTTCCATACTGTTTATTTATTTAATTATTCATTCTACAATTTTTATTGACCATCTCTGTTGTGTAAGGCACTGTAGTGGGTCCTCTGAGAGTTACAAGTATGAACCAGTGGTGGATCCTGACTCAGAGGAACTTCTCTATAGAGAATACTGGTAGAGAGGTGCAGATGATATGTTAATGAAGTTCAAAAAATAGAAGAATATTTTAAACTCAGTACATGGTGGGGAGGACGTTTGTGGAACAAGTGGCACAGAGCTGGGTGTTTAAAAAGATAATAACACATTCCCTGTGATTAGTAAGTCAGTATTGTTTCTCCTGAGATCAGAATTAGCAGAAATTATTAGCACAAATAGATTTATTATTTAGTGCAATTATAATGTAGAGTTTCTTCTCAAAAGCAAGGGATAGACAGAATAGTTATGAAAGGCCAGCTCTAACTTAATTGAGAATTTGAGTCATTCCAGCATTAGCCTGTAATCTCCTTCATTCCCATTTTCCTGCTATGCATGTGCCTCAGAGTCAAATCTGGTTTTGAATACTATCTGCCCAGTGATCTTGGGCAGTTACTTAATTTGCAAGTCTGTAACCCTCAGGATAAGATAGAGAAAATAATCCTAATAAGTTTGTTGTAGAGAATAAATATGTGTAAATCATTTAGTCATGTAGCAAATGTCCAAAAAATAAATTAACTTCTTTCATTTCACTTTTTTTCCCATTAATTTTATCTTTTAGAACACAAGTTTGAAAGTGTTTTCTGATAATCGTTCATTTTGCTTTTGAATCTACAATTTGGTGGGGTCATATAGGAGATTGCTCATCTCTAGTCCATGAAGCACCAACTGTGGCTGGAGGAGCCACTTCCTGTGACAGCAAATTGGAACTGGTTGTTAGCTGAGAGCCATGGTTCCCCTCTGCGTAGGCTTCTCCCAGGGATGCTAGAGCTTGTCACACCATAGCAGTTGTGCTGCAAGTGATTGTTGTCCAAGAGAGGAAATGGAAGCTGCCAAACTGTCTTGAGTCGAGCATTACTTCTGCCATATTCAGTTGGTCTGAAAGTTACAAAGCCTGCCTAGACAAAGGAAGAGGAAAGAGAGAATGTGAAAGAATCACTGATCATCTTTAATGTGTAACCAGGGCATGGTTGATAATTTTTTCTCTTAATCAAATTGGTAAGGCATTACTTTAAAAATAAATTAGTCATGTACAACTCCTTGGAGTATAAGCCTAGGCAGTTTCAGATAATACAGCTACTATTTTAGGCAGATATTAATTTAGTAGTAACTCTAAATGGCAGTGTAGTTATAAAATTGGAGTTTGACCAGCTACCCACCCTCAACTCCTTATTATCTAAAAAATATTATGAATGGTTACCTAGCTTCAGTAAAGATTGCTTTTATATATCTGCTGTCATTGCATATTCTGCTTAATTAAACTTTTTGTTGATACTGCAGTTTTTCTTTATTTTTACATCTTAGATGCAGTCTGAGGGAACAGGGAAGACCTTTTAAAAACACAATTTCTTGACAGAGTATAAGATGGACAGTTACAGGAGAGAATAGAGTGCCATTTAGATTAGAGTCAGTGGGGCCAATCTAGACCATGAAGTCAAAAGAAGTTTAGTAAGAGAAAAAAGTGTTGAGTGTAGCAGACATTGTTTTATTTAGTCTACAAAGCATTTCCTTTATTTGAAAATCATTTTAGTCATTTAGGATATCTGAACCTTATATCGGGCAGTAAAAATACAATATGGGTTAATTCTTTAATGTGTTAAAACTAAACAAATTATATATATTCTTAAACATAGGTAACTTTTTTGCCTCATACTTTTTAATTAACAAGAATTATTCAGAGTTGTGTTACTTGTGATTATCCAGCAGGGTCATGAGAGAGAACATATTTGTGCAGAAAGCTTTTGGTTGTCATAGGGAACCTCGAACACAGAAAAGAGCTTTCAATGACTTATCTTTAACATGTTCCACAATTAAATTAAGATCGTTTAATGACACTTGTGAGAGGAGATGAATCAGGCCCTTAAATATTTAAAAAAAAAAAAAAAATGTTTCTTTGACTCAGCTGACTTAGGATATGCTACAGAGACTGCAGTGAGAACTTAAGTATCCAAGTAGGGGATATTATTTTGGGGAAATGGGAACCATGCCGTCCACAAGCACTCTGCACCTTGTCCAGCAGTCATCTCTGGGGCACAAGCATCTTACTACAAAGAGGATTTGACAGGAGTGAGAAAATGTGTCACATCATCCCTCCCTTCTGATGGAAAAGCAACCCAAAGAGCATATCCCATTAACGCTAGATCAGTATCGTCTATTTGTCAAAAACATTTCATGAATCATGAGCCAAAATTTTATTTATGGTGGAGTGATACCCATTAGAAAATTAGAGTTTTTGTTAGTATAATTTATTAGCTGCAAAAGTTGAGAAGGTTCTCTGGACTCATTTTTATAGGTGGAATCTAAGTGATCTGGATCGTTGCCCACCAACAAAATTGCTAGGCATGTAGACAAAGAAAATGTTCCTTCTAATGATTTTTTATGAGCTGAGTAGCTATTGTTCCCAGCTGACTGCTCTTTTCCTCTTTTTATTGTTGCTGAGCAAAAGAATTTATAAAAAGCTCTTTTTTTTTTTTTTTTTATTAAAAAACCCTGCTCCATTGAAATTCAAGTTCATTAAGTCATGTTCATCCCTCTTCCTGCCATACTAACCCTTTCCCCCTCTGGTCTATTTAACTGCCTAGCAGCAATGGTCAACATTTTAAGTCTGGACAGATTATTACATAGATATCAATATATAGATAAGCAGTCTTTAAGTGGAAATTTTATTCCTTATTGTCAGTATATAATCACTCAGGCTGGATGTTGACCCCAAATTTCATATTAGTACCTCAACTTGTAAGGGGAAAAAGCCCCCTGGAAAATTAAAACATCACTGGTATACTTCCATTGTGAAGGATGGTGATAAAGATGAGGTATTGGTTCATTCTTGACACCATCTAAGCTATAATGCTAGAGGCCAAGAAATTAAAGTTGGTTAATTTTTATAAACCCAGTGTTTGCATAATAGCTAATACTTGCTGAATAACTGTGCCATTCTACCTACATTATCTCTTTTTAAAAAATTTTCATAGCTACCCTGAGGTAGAAAAACCAAAGACTCAGAGGAGTTTAGGAACTTTTCCAAAAACTTTTTTCAGTGGTGGGACTGGGATACAAATACCATTTTGCTGGACCCTGAAGTATATACTCTATGAAAATAGTTTATGGAAGGATCCAGTGTGTTGAGAAGTCACAAGCAAGGGGTTACGTCTTTAATTCTGTCCTGGAAGCTTATGATACTATCCAACTGCACATGGCAGAATTTCAGTTACGTAGTTAGGCAGCATGGACTTCATTGACTCAGAGGGAATGGAGGGAGCTTTGATGAGATTTTACTTGAAACATTCGTGGGCAAGAGCTCCCAAGGAGAACATCCAAAGCAAGGTTCAGAAGACAGCTCATGAACTTGAAGCAGCAGATTTGGGGAGAGAAATGAAGACATCATTCAATATATTAACGATAAGAACAAGACTGAGTTTATTGAAAGGAACAGAGAGGCAATGAAAAAATATGGTTAAGGACTAAGACAACTGAATCGAGATAACTTGCAGCAATTAAAAGGGAATTATGAGGCTTTAGTAGAATTTTTAAAAATTGTTTTTCACTATTCCCAGTTGCAGGCTGAGTTATTTGTCCATGTTAATGCTTTTATGTCAAATTCAAAATTATATTTGCAATTATAGGGTTGTCTAGTAGAATCAGTAGAATTTTATCTGAATGTGTCTTGAGATTTTCACTTAACTCTGTTTCCAGTGTCTGTATTCAAATGTTGAAGGGGTTTCTAACTCCTCATGACTAATATTCATAGCAGACTTGTGCACTCCCTGAATATTAGGTACACCTGTGTTTGAAAAGAAGCGCATACCAAAATCAACTTGGTGATTTTCCATTTATCTACTCTTGGATCATCAATGCCTTTGCTCTTTTCTTCTGTGAATGTGGATGATCAAGAGTTGACTTTCCAAGTGTTTACGTTTTGGCTTCTATGCCTCTGGAGTAGGATGATATTATCTAATGACATATCCTCTGTGGTAAAATGGGACACTGAATTTGCATAGTCTCCATCCTAGGCTGATGTATAGTGCAGTGCGGTGTTGCAGAGAGAGCAGCTCCGGCAGAGATGCAGCCTTCCCTAATTAACCCCACTTGGATTTGAGTTACGCTTTGTTCCTTGGCTTCTTGGTACTTATGTATTCACTTTGCTCTCTACTGTATTCCACTTGGTACTCACTTATGTACAATATTGTTTGGACTTTTTCTCTTTCTTATAAACAGGGATTTTTGTAAAATATGTGAAAGTGTAAATATACTAAATTTTAAAGAAGTGAAATGAAATACTGTTGTGTTT